TTGGTTAAGAGATCAATATACATACAGATAGGAGTACAGTTCTGAGATCAGATTCATAGAAGAGATAGTGAGCTTTGTAGTTACAAAGAGTTCCTTCAGAATTAGTCCATAGGTTATAGTCCAATGTTCATATTCAGGGTGATCCAGATTAGGACTGGAGATCTCAGCCTTATGACTTAAGTGTCCCTTACATGAAGCATCAAGCAGATCTGAGATAAAAAGGATCAGGACCCAAAGGGTTTTTATACAATTCCAGGCCTTCTCTTGACAGGTTGGAGTCCTTAGGCAAACAATCATGGAGACTGAAGACGACATTGTGGTACCAGATGACAAAACAAGGAGTAATGATCTCAAGTTGCAGTGGGGGAGATTTAGGTTGGATATTAGGAAAAACTTTTTCACTAGGAGGGTGGTATAGCACTGGAATGGGTTACCTAGGGAGGTGGTGGAATCTCCTTCCTTAGAGGTTTTTAAGGTCAGGCTTGACAAAGCCCTGGCTGGGATGATTTAGTTGGGAATTGGTCCTGCTTTGAGCAGGGGGTTGGACTAGATGACCTCCTGAGGTCCCTTCCAACTCTGATGTTCTATGATATTTCCTAAGCATTACCCATAATTAGCTACGCAGATTAACACAAGGCAATTGGCTGTTTTTCCACCATTCACAGGTGATTTGCTATACATTTCAAAGAGAGATGAATACTATGTTTACAGTTCATTTAAATGTTAATATTTCCTTTCTATCTCTGAATTAAGAGAATACAGCATGGCCAGCGACTGTTTGATTACATTGTTAACCTCTAACAATATACATGTTGTCATAACTATAAAGGGAAGGGTAACAGCTGTCCTGTGTACAGTACTATAAAATCCCTCCTGGCCAGAGACTCCAAAATCCTTTTCCCTGTAAAGGGTTAAGAAGCTCAGGTAACCTGGCTGGCATCTGACCCAAAGGACCAATAAGGGGACAAGATACTTTCAAATCTTGGGGGGGGGGGGAGGAGGGAAGGGCTTGTGTTTGTGCTCTTTGATTGGGAGTTTGTTCGCTCTTGCTACTGAGAGGGACCAGACATCAATCCAGGTTCTCCACATCTTTCTAAACAAGTCTCTCATATTTCAAACTTGTAAGTAAATAGCCAGGCAAAGCGTGTTAGTTTTACTTTGTTTTCTCACCTTGTAAATGTACCTTTTACTAGAGTGTTTATCTCTGTTTGCTGTACTTTGAACCTGAGGCTAGAAGGGGGTCCTCTGAGCTCTTTAAGTTTGATTACCCTGTAAAGTTATTTTTCCATCCTGATTTTACAGAGAGGATTTTTACCTTTTTTCTTTTAATTACAGTCTTCTTTTTAAGAACCTGATTAATTTCTCCTTGTTTTAAGATCCAAGGGGTTTGGATCTGTATTCACCAGGGAATTGGTGAAGTGTTTCTCAAGGCTTCCCAGGGAAGGGAATCCACTTGGGAATGGTGGCAGCGGACCAGATCTAAGCTGGTAGTTAAGCTTAGAAGTTTTCATGCAGGCCCCCACATTTGTACCCTAAAGTTCAGAGTGGGGAAGCAGCCTTGACACATGTAAACACACAAAACCACAAACATTATCTACCAAAATGTCTCTAAAGGTTGAGTTTGGGTCAGTTAGCTGGCAAACCGCTTAACTCTTTCTGGCCATGAGTCACACTTTGTATAAGATTTGTTGCAATTATAGAACAGTGGTAGCAACAATGACTTGCATGGTCGTACTGTAATCAGATAATGTCACAACCACATGGCGTGATAGGCATGTGTAAGATCCATCGATCTTGAAAGGTGTGTTGTGGGGGAGTGTTGATTATTGGAGCAGTGAAGATACGCCTGCAGGTTTTGCATCTGCTGTTCTGGTAGGGCCTGGTGCCATGTTGAGTCGGTGTGTCTTGGTCTGTAGGGACATTTGCCTCTAATGACAAAACCCCTCTCAATTACCACATCTCCACTGACAATCACAAGAAAAAAAAATCATCTGACTGACCACCACATAGCAGACGAAACCACACTCGATTCCATTGATTGCTTCAGGAAAAAATTGACTATGATGAATGTGATTAAGGATTTCACAATCTCCCCATTGCCGAGAGGACAGCCATACAGTCCCTGAAATGTAACCACCAGATAGTGATTAAACCAGCAGACTGGGGATGCCAGAGTAGTCCTCAACAGTGACAACTACATTAACAAGGCCAACTGACAACTCTCCAATACCACCTACTATAAAGAACTCAAAGACAGCCCCATACCACAATTTCCCCAGGAAATTAAGGATATTATCAAATCCTTCCCGAAACAACACCTAGAGAAACTCTAGGAACTCATCCCCTCATGAACCCACCACATAGACCTTCTAGATGCTTCTCAAGATACACAAACAAGGGAACTCAGGCAGACACATCGTATCTGGCCATTTCATCAATGGAAAATGATATGCACAAATTTATGTCAAGTGGAGGTTCCCCGACACGTCTAGCTAAACACATACTGGTTTAGATAAAACCAGTTGCAAAAAGAAAGATTTTAAGTGACTACAAGTAAAGTTAGAATTGGTAACAAAGAAAATAAAAGATATGAAAACTAACACCTAACTTAACAAGCTAAATGGATTCAAAACAAAGGTTTTTATCATATGCTGATAGCAATCTGTACTTCATGAAAAGCCTCCCTGCCAGGACCCCTCCACCAGTTCAATGATGCTTCCTTTAACTTTCAAGCACTATAGCTGCAGTGAGTAAAGATGGGGGTAGAGAGGTGATTTGAAGGCCATTGTTTCTCCTTCTTATCCCCTTCTCCCCTATTGGAGGATTATCTCCAGCTGAGGTTCAGGCAACAGTCAATCTATTTACACGGAAACTCCCAGCTGTTTCACTGTCAATATGTAAAGTTCTTGCTCACACCCACCTTCCTGCTAAAGAACGGGTGCTTACCTAGGTGATGGTCCATTATAGTTAATCTGATTATGCCAATATCTGGCTGGAGCTCCAGTGTCTTTGTCTCTGAAAAACTGGTTTGGGCCTGCTTTTCTTAAACTTGGAGCATATTATAGCAATGTTATACAGTAGAATCTTATAACTTTACATACAATTCTGATAAACCTATTTTACCAGGACAATAATGTTCAGTGGATTATGAGTTTAATTGATACCTCACAAAGCATACTTTGTACAATATTTAGCATAGTCTTATAAAAATGGTAAGCATGAGGTACAGTCTGTCACAATCATATTTGACGGTGTGGATCTATTGTATGAGCTCATTTTTGGAAACTCAAGAGAAATAGCCGACAGTTAGCATGCCACAAGGCTAGCACCTTTTTGACATGGACAGTAAACATTAGAATGGAGTCAAGAGGCATCCTAATAGAACTCCCTGTTCCTCCCCGGACAATAGAAAGGCATGTGGAAAATGAAGAGATTGCAAATTCAAAGAACTACTTGGATAAAAAAAAAAGGTTGAACGACAGAAGGACAAACTAATCCGGAATGAATCTGGGAACAGACTCTGAGAAATACCACTTTGGGGTATATGTGAAGGAGTGTGGTATGATGTCAGGCACAGGGGTACCCAAAAGGTAAGTTAGAACTGCAAAGAGAAACAGCTGAAGGGAGAGGGCTCTGAATGACAAAACGGCTAATCAGAAGAGACAGAAGAAAATGCTTTTTAGAAATGGAAAAAGATACCTTTTTTATTCATTGTGACTAAAAAAATTCATCGTGACTAAAAATAAGGCAAATTTACACGAAGTCTTACAATTTCAGACTAGATATGTTAGCTCTACAGTTTCTATTATGTTAATGAGTTTTTTGTTTTGTTTTTTAATCTGGATTTTAATTTGATTTCAGACTTAAGCTTATGTCTGGGAATTTAACACAGACCGTCCTAGAGAGAAAAGATAACCTCAATACCCTAAGAAAAAAGGTAGTGAAGAAATTATGGCTGGAGCCTAGCCCAAAGAGTTCTTAATCAAGAGGGCTTCCAATAAGGAGACTTCTCCTACAAGGTGTGGTGTTTGTCCTGTGGTTTCATGGTGACTGCCTACTAAACTCTGCTCTTATGTTGGGGCACTGGTGATGACTAAGGCTGCGAGTTTGTCAAAGAAGTCACAGATTCGGTGACTTTCCGGGACCTATGTGACTTCTGCAGTGACCGGTGACCGCACTGGTTGCTGCTGGGGCAGTCTTGGTCCACTGTGCCCCTCTTCCCCAACAGCAGCAGGAGTTTGGGTGGGGAGCTAAGCGCTGGGGTGCAGAAAGGGGTGAGAGTGACAGAGACGGAGATATGTTGGCTTACTTATCTAAATCCAAGATTCATAGGATTCTAGTATTACTGTTGAAATTGCCTGATTTATGGGCATCCCCAAAAGCATTGCTTCAAGCATTACTAATGTCACGCTTCATAGGAAGAGCTGGCCAATTTGCCCAGAATTGCCCAGAATTACTGATAAACACAATTAGGCAGCATGTGAATACACACATCCAGTTGCGCCAAGGTTCTGTTGTATGAAAATGGTTTACCTGGGGGCAGATTAACTGAGGATTCAAGTTTCAGAGTAGCAGCCGTGTTACTCTGTATCCGCAAAAAGAACAGGAGTACTTGTGGCACCTTAGAGACTAACAAATTTATTAGAGCATAAGCTTTCATGGTCTACAGCCCACTTCTTCGGATGCAACATAAGCAGGGAGTTAACTCCGTTTCTTACACAAGTAGATCCCGATCCAACAGAGAGGTTTGCAATGGGCAGGCCCCGCCCCCCCTCCCTTAACCCCAACACCACCTGCGTCCCCACTCTCCAACTGCCCCGCCCACTTAACTGCCTCCTCCTCCGCTCCCCCCAATCCATCCGCTACAGGCGACTACCCGCTCTGGCCCCGCCCCAACCGCCGCACCCCCAGCGCCCCCGCTCCGCCATGCCCCTGCCCGCGCTCCCTCTATCCACCCCCATGGCCAGACCACAGCGGCCCACTGCCCTAGCCTCACTCACCGCCACCGGCCGCGGCCTCGCTCACCTGTCGGCGCTGAGGATCCAAGCCCCGGGACGAAGAAAGGAAGCGGCTGGAGCCAGAAAGCAAAGCAATAACACGGCCCCCCACAGGCTCCCCACCCTACGCTCCGCCCCCGAGCACGCCCGTCTACCGCTCCGCCCCCAAACGGGCGCAACAGCGCATGCGCGAGAGGCGCCCCCGCTGACAGCCATGAAATTCTCGAACGGGGATGTTCGTTTCGTCCAGGGGCGGCTGAGGCCACGTGATCCCAATTCCCCCCTCCCCCTCCTTCTACTTTGCTCCCGCAGAGACCCTGCTTTAGTCCCGCCCACAACACTTCCCTCTAAGGAATGGGGGGAAGAGCGGAGAACTCAGCGGGCGGAACGGAAAGAGCGAGGTCATGTGTCCTACTCGGACACTACCGGGCACTGACCGCAGCCTGTCAACACAGGAGCCCCGGTCCCGTATGGCCCGGACATTGTTGCAGACGGACCGTTTCCGGTCGGGCGCTCTTACGAGGTTCCCCAGGATGCAGGCGGGTCGGGCTAAGCACGGGGTGGCGCATCATGGCGGCAGCGGTTATTAGCTTGAGGCCTTTGCGCCGAGGCGCCGCCTGGGTGGGGAAGCGGCTCCTGTCCGAGGCTGGAGGCGTGAGACGCGGCTGGTGGCGGCAGGCGCAGGTGGGGCAGGCGGCAGAAGTGGACACTGAGCCCCGCGTGGGAGACGCGCTCTGGGGACCCTTTCGCGCCCCTCTCCGCCGGGACAGTCACAGGCCAGCGCCCCGGCCAGGCCGCTGCCCCAGCGTGTCAGGCCCGCCGGAGAGAGACCGTCCTGCCGGAGCGGAGATTCTTTCAGGGGCTCTTCTCCCTGCGATCGAAGCCTCCTATCCACCGCCCCCGGTCCATCCCTTGCAGGAGCCCCCCACGCCCCTTCCCGGTGTAAGCCTGCGGTCTGGAGGGCTGGGCGCACTCGAGCCTCTCACCCTCTTTCATCTCCCTGCTTGGGTGGAGGGGGCCAGGCCGAGCTGCCATTGATCCCTGTCCAGTCACTGTTCTAGAAAGTGCAGGTCAAGTCAAGACCTAGTTAGCCACGGGGCTGAAGACAAACATGAACCTACCTCAGGTATCCCCTTCCTCAAACACTGCTAACTGTAGCACTGCAACATGTCAGGCCCGCCTGCTGCCCTTACTGGTATCAGCCCAAAACACAGAAGCAGAGCTCATGGTTAAAGCAATGCCTGATGTGACCTACTTCTAGAGAAGTCAGATGCCATCTGTCCACACAGACAGTCCCAAACAAGTTACACATTTCTTGTCTTTTCTGAGCTGTACTACACTTGGTTCTTGGTCCACTATGGGTCGGCAATGACTGTCTTCTTGATGCCCTCGTTTACACTGATTTACTTTTAGTGTCATGGCAACTGGGGAAAATAATCTGCTTCCACATCACTGTTTAAGGTTTCATTTTTTCATGTATCATCATCAGGGGTAGCCATGTTAGTCTGGATCTGTAAAAAGTGACAAAATCCTGTAGCACCTTATAGACTTAGGGTACGTCTTCACTACCCACCAGATCGGCAGGTAGTAATCGATCTATCGGAGATCAATTTATCGTGTCTCGTCTAGACACTTTAAATCGATCCCTGAACATGCTCCCCATGGACTCCAGAACTCCCCCAGAGCGAGAGGCGGAAGCGGAGTCGACGGGGGAGCTGCGGCCGTCGATCCTGCGCCGTGAGGACCCGAGGTAAATTGATCTAAGATACGTCAACTTCAGCTACATTATTCTTGTAGCTGAAGTTGCGTATCTTAGATCGACACCCCCCCCCCCAGTGTAGACCAGCCCTAACAGACGTATTGGAGCATAAGCTTTTGTGGGTGAGTACCCACTTCGTCAGATGCAGTGGGTATTCACCCACGAAAGCTTATTGTCTGTTAGTCTATAAGGTGCCACAGGACTCTGTCATTTTTTCATGTGTGGCAATTGAATGCTAAATTGAGCCACGTAGAAAGGAATATAAAGAAATAAATAGGAATTATTGGTGACGGATGATATTCTGGCTTCTAAAATAGCTGGGTTTATGATCTACAAAAGTAATAATGTTTTAAGGGTTGCATGACTTAGGCCATGTCTACACTGTAAAATTAAGTCAACCTAATTTACATTGGCATACAGCCGCCATTGTAATTACATCGCTTGTGCATGTCTGCGCTTCGCTCCTTGCATCAACAGTGCACATCCTAACCAGGAACACTTGTATCGATTGTACTGTCAATGTGGGGCATTGTGGGATAGCTCCTGAAAGCCAGTAACAGTTGACATAAGCAACACAGTGTCTACACTGACACTGCATTGGCCTAACTACATCGACCTTGACTCTATGATGCTTGTGGAGGTGGAGTTATTAAGACAGTATAGCGGGGCAGTTAGGTTGGCAGGAGCGAAATTTAGGTGTAGACACTATCACGGTTAGGTTAACGTAAGATGCCTTGCATTGACCTAACTCTAGTGTAGACCAGGCCTTGGATATGTATGCTTGTTGTAGCATAAATAGCATGTCAAGTTCTCAACACTTAAATCAGTATTTCTGGTTTTGGTGTCTTAAAACACACAAACCATAACATTCTCAATTACAAGTCTGTTAATGAGCAGGTATTTGATTTAGCAAAGGGACAAAATTAGCAAAGACAGTTTGAATACAATTTGAGCATCAAATCAGTTAAGAGATGAAGAGATCCTTCCAAGTCAATTATATTTGTGGGTTTCAGGCAAAAGTTTAGGCTACCTGCAAAGTTTTCAATTACACTTGAAGCAGGAGGAAAATAACTCATAGTTTGACTCAGACTTTATCATTAGGAAATTAAAACATGACACTTTTTGACTTTTTTTCTAAGTTGCTTACTCATATATTTTAATTCAGTTTTTACCAAACAACTCTGTATTCTTGCTTATTGTTTTGTCTTGTATTCTTTGCACAATTAAACATAGTTACTTTTGTTTTGTAGTTCTTTCTTCATGTTAATAGTACTAGGTTCATGTTCCAAAGTATAATAATGAATCAATTCCCAAAGCCCAGTTTCCTGTTTGCACAGTACAAAATAAAACCTTGAAGTGTTCCTATTATTGTTATTCTGTAACTTCTGAGAGCCTCTTGGACACATAAGATTGGAATGTCATCCAGAGAGCTGCAGAACAGCTTTGTCAAATCTTATAGCAGATTATAAATTTACTTTATTTTTCTTTTCAGGTGTTTGGAAAATTAACTCTTTTCAGAAGAGGGCTTGCACTCTCAGCAGTGTCTTACTTGGGTTATGAAGCTTACAACTCTATTTCTCACTTTGCTGTGGTTCATGCTAGTGTCAAAGGTAAAGCTCTATGAATTCAAATGTCCTGAGGTCATTCAGATGCAGACTTGGCACTTCTTTACAGTACCAAAACTTTGTGAGAAGCATTTTATGTAAGGTTTTCCAATATCTCCACTATAGGCTATTTTTATATAATCTGTTCAACTGTAGGCTACCTTTGAACTAAATAAACAGTGAAGTTCTTGTTTAGCATGGCTCACTTCTCAGAAATATCACTAGGAATGTAGCCAAAACTTTGCTGTGTGGGTAAAATAAGCTTGTGACACAGATGCTGTTTCTTTGAAGTCTTTGTTGGGAGGTAAGGTTGAATTTGGGATTCAGAATAGAGCTATTCATCTTTGATTCAACTGTAGAATTAGAATTTTAATTTTTGTTGGTACTAGTGGAAATCCACATCATAGCAGCATTGGGCTCATGATTTTAGCTAGAAATGGAGCAAAATGTCTTGGTCTGAAATGTAAGTGCTGGAATCTTTGGAAATATAGTAAAATATCAAAGATTCAGTCTAAAGCCTTGTTTTAAGTAGTCTTTACACATATTATTCTGATCAAAATTAAATCAGTACAATGCTAGCTCTCTAAATGCTTCCCAGGCTGCTGAATTTCTTGGAAATGTTATACATCTTTTTTTTCAAATAAGCTCCAAATGAGGATTCTTGCAGAAGAAAAAAACATTGTACTCACTGCAGTAGAAACAATGATCCTCCGTCTTCATACTCCTTTGTCTTCTCCCAGGTATTGAGGTGAGCGTTTTGCCTAAGTGCTGTGTCCTTTAGTGCAGTGTTTTCAACCTTTTTGATATCAGGGACCGGCCTGCTGCCTTCCTAAACTGTCAGGGAGATCTCAGGGACCAGCACTGGTCCACGGACTGGTTGTTGATTAGGTAGATTCCACTCTTCAGAGCTTCATTTTCCACAAGGTTTTAGAAATAACTAGAAATATTGGGCATATCTTTATTTTTGCCTCCATTTAAGCTATATTTAAGTTAGGCTTCACTCTTTTAATAGTTACAGAGCACTGGACTGAAAAAAGTATCTGTACAAATCTTGCCATTTGATGTCATTTTTAAAGACTATTATAGCTCTGAGCACATTATAAAAGAACCTACTGACAACTTTCTGTACACAATTAAAGCAAAGCAGGAAAAATCAAGTGACCAGAGCCCTTAGGGCAAGTTAGCAGACACCAAGCCAGATTAGAACTGCTCAAAATTCATGAGGGAATACAAGATGGTGTTTAACAGAGGGAAGAAAAACGTTTTAGAAAAGATTTGACTTGACAGCATCGCTTTTGAAATTTCAATCAACATATTAAATCCGATAAGCATCTACTGACAGCTGTGGAGATGAATAGAAAGTTTCCAGCAAACCTAAAATAATTAGTCAATTACTTCATTAGTACTGAACTGAGTGGTGAATATTGAAAATAGTGGAATTTGAGAGAAAAATGTCATCACTGTCAGAGGGCCTAATGGAAACCTGAAGCTTGTGGAGAAACAACTTGAAACCATGGAAAACGTGTCGATTTTCAAACTTGCATGCTTAAGATTGCTTTTGGCCTTGAGGCCCTCTTCATTATTATATTTATACCTAAAATACTGGATTTAGATATTCTTTATATGTGGTGAAAATGTCATTGAATTCTGAAGAGACAGTGGCAAGAAAGCAACAGCTAAAGGAACAATAGCTGTATTAAGGGACCCATGTTACTAGAAGAGGAATCAGAAAGCTGGCTAAACCAAGCCATTTCTTATAAGAGAAATCAAAACATTTCCGTTAGGTGC